GTGTGTGTGTGTGTGTGTGTGTGTGTGTGTGTGTGTGTGTGTGTGTGGGAAGGGGGGGCTGGTGTCCAAAGTCTATACACTTTTTATACTCAATTTAAAATGAGGATTGTTTTAGCTGGAATTAGATGAGCAATCAGGTATAGTTGTTTAGATTTACAACAGCTTTGGCTATTTTAAGAGCTTATTCAACAGAGGAGAAGGAGGAAGAAATGGTTAATTCTTGTTCATGATCAAAGGTATCACTGATTTACATATAATTTCATTCATTTGTATAATGAAATGGGTGTACTGCATGTAGGTGGCACCCACTACACACAAGCATGGTGGACATCCCCAAAATCCAAAAAAAACCCTTGCATTGATGCTGGCACCACCAGAAAATCCTACAAAGCTCTTATCCTAGGGAGAGTGGCTTCTGAGCGAAGGAAAAGTTGAATTATTCCAATGTGGATTTGGTGTAATATCAGTAATACGGGTCTCATCAACAGCAAATACAGTTCTCACTGTATATAACATCGTTCATTGGACTATCTCAAAGGGCTGCACAAACTTTAATGAACCTTCACAGCACTTGTGTGAGCTGGGCGTGTATTATCTCCACAGTTGGTAAATTCATACACAGAGAAAGTAAACAGCTTACCAAGATTAACACAGCAAGTCATTAGCAGAGTCTGAAATGGAAAAATGTCCAGACTCCTCTTTCTCTGAATATGTTAGTTATTTGTTTGAAGTCCAGATATTTAGCTGAAAAAAGATAAGCAATTAAATTATATTAATATATCTATATAATCATATTGGATACATATATTTAATTTTTTTATGCTATGTTCTTCCTATTCTCTCTATTTCGTTTTCCAATACTGAAAACTCTCCATTTCAGCCTTTGAATCTCTTTACCACTTTCTCATGAACCTTTATTTGCTTTTTTGGGGGGGCTTTAGGCAGTTTCTTAGCTACCTTGAGATCGTGATAAAAGACATATTGGCTCCTAATCTGCAGTGGTATGCTGGAAGAAGAGCAGCTGCCATCCGCACTACAGCTGTATCATGCCTTTGGGCTCTTATTGACAGTGAAATGCTTTCATCAAAAGAGGTAAACTCCTCCTTCCCCAACAAATGTACTTTAAAACCAAGGCAGGAAAACACAAGACACACATAGTAAACACAAACTTACCCTTTACAAAATTAATCCTTTAAAAAATGTAATGTTTTAAGATGTTTGCAATATTGTTGTAGCCATGTTGGTCCCAGGATGTGACTGAGAGGTAATATGGATGGGTGAGGTAATATATTTTATTGGACCAACTTCTGTTGGTAGAAGGGCAAGCTTTTGAGCTTGACAGAGCTCTTCCTCAGTTCAGGGGAAGGTAACCAGAGTGTCACAGCTAAATATAAGGGTGACAGATTGGTAAGCATAAGGGGTACACATTCATTGTAGGAGACCACTTAAAATTAAGTGGGCTGTTAACACTGCTACAGACTTAGGGCAAAGGAAGGTAGTAGGCAGTAGGGTATTTTACTCGTTGTAATGAGCCATAAAACCAGTGTCTCTCTTAAGTCCATGATTTTTAGTGTCCAGCAGAGTTATTAATTTAAGTTCCCAGGCTTGTCTTTTGAAGGTGTTGTGCAGGTTTTCTTTGAGGACGAGGACTGAGGGGTCAAATATGGAGTGATCACTTTGTGAAAAGTATTTACCCATGGGTGATATCATGTTTTCGTCTTTTACCATTTTCCTATGTGAGTTCATCTGAGAGCATAGTGATTTTTTGTTTTCACCCACATAGTTGTTTGGGGACATTTGATGCACTGGATGAAGTACACCAAGTGTTATGATAGACACGTATCGGACCCATGAATTTTGAAAGCTGTGTTGTGGGGGGTATTGATCTTCGTAGAGTGGAGATATGGCTGCAGATTTTTTTTTCTGTTATTCAGGCAGGGTCTTGTGTCCTGCTCTGTGGGGAGCTTGCTTCTGATGCTGAACTTGGTGAGGTTGGGGGATTGGAGGTTCGGGAAAGGTTTATTTCAGGAAGTGGACCCCATCAAGTATGAGTTGTAATTGTTTTGACTCTGTATGGCTTCCAGTGTGGGGTAACCAAGAAATGTATTGTCTCTAGGCAGGCACTCAGTTACCACAGAGTATGCTGCAAAGGATACACACCTTAACTCGCTTAAAACCGCCTTCACCAAAAAAGGACACTTTCTGCCAGAGAAGTAGATCATATCATGAAACGGGCCACCCAAATATTCCCAAGAGAACCTGCTTCAATACAGAAACCTCCCTCCAACCTCACATTCCTAGCTGTTACCCCACACTGGAACCCATATGCGTTATCATCAAACAATTACAACCTATACTTGATGGGCTCAACATCTTGAAAGAAATCTTTACTGATTCCCCTCTTCTGGCCTTCAAACAACCCCCAGCCTCACCAAGCTCATCATCAGAAGCAAGCTCCCAACAGACCAGGACACAAGAAGTTAGTGACACCAGACCTTGATTGAACAGCCGATGAAAAATCTGCAGACATATCTCCACCTCTACGATGATCAATACCCTCCACAATACACCTTTCGAGATTCTGGGGTCCAACCCATGCCTATCAAAATGTGTGGTGTACCTCATCCAGTGCATCAAATGTCCCAGTAACCACTATGTGGGTGAAACCAAACAATAACTATGCTTGTGAATGAACTTACATAGAGTATTTTTGTCTTTTATTATTTTTCTATCACCTGTGGACGAATACTGGGAAAAGGGAGTAGGTTTAGGCAAAGCTTCATCTAGGTCCAAGTGGCATCTTTGAATCATATTGTTTTTTCTTATACAGTTCACTGTAAGATGAGGTTGGTTATGGTGCAGGTCACATTGAGAATACTATGGGCCACAGTTAATCTACTGGTCTCATTAACATCACTCCCTCATTCTGTTTAACATTTAATTAACTATAAAGAATTGCTTTTTAAAATAAAGAAACAAGTGACATTAAAAGTGCTATTAAAACTACCTAATCTGGGGGGAGAGGTGTCTGTGATAGGCCCTGATTCAGCAGAATGCTTAAGCACAGACTTAACTACATGCATAAGCACTCCCACTCAGGGCTGGCGCTTCCACTAGGCGACCCTAGGCGGTTGCCTAGGGCGGCAGGATTTGGGGGGTGGCATTTTGCCGCCCTCGGCGGAAATTTGGCGGTGGGGGGTCCTTCCACTCCGGTCTTTGGCAGAAATTCGGCGGCAGGTCCTTCACTCGCTCTGGGACCCGCCGCCGAAGTGTCCCGAAGACGCGGAGCGGAAGGACCCCCGCCACCGAAGACCCCAGGCCCCCTGAATGCTCAGAGGAGGAGCACTGCTGCCTAGGGCGGCAAAAACCCTGGCGCCGCTCCTGCTCCCACTGACTTCGAAGGGACTACTTACATGCCTAAATTAAGCACATGCTTAAGTGTTTTGCTGCATCAAGACCATTATTATAAATATTAGCTAGCAATTGGCTTTTTAAAAATGATTTTAAAGCAGATAGCATCTTTGACAGATCTCCTGAATGTTAAAATAACTAATTAGTACACGGATTGCAAGTGACTGAAAAGCTACTATTTTAATATGACTTTTTTATTGATTGTAGATTTTTAAACTAGAAGATGCACTGATGCCTCAGGTAATCGCCACATTGGATGAAGATTCTAAAATGACTCGATTAATGGCTTGTCGCATTGTCAGTGTTATTTTAAATATCTGTGGGAAGCAGTTTGATCTAGATAAACTCAACAACATTTATCCTGGTATGATTTTTTTTTAAATGCTGTAAATATTCTTAGAATTTAAAATAATATTTTAATTCTTCCTTATAGAGGAGATGTCAGCAACTCCATAGCTAACATTGCATTTGCTTTTTCACCTAAAGCAGAGTTTTTGAGCATGAAAAATATGTGACTGGTGCATTAGGCAGGTCACAGGCTGACCCTAAAACTTTTTTCACAATCTGTCTAGCCCTTCTGCAGTTTCTATCACTGTCCTCTAGCCTTGAACCTGTGTACAGGGCCAGTATGAGGCCCAGGCATGGCTTAAGTGAAATTTAAACAGTGCATAGACCTTGTGCTGGTTCTCTACATAGAGGTAAGCGTTACCCTGAGTGAATAAATTGCTTTCCCAGCCATTCATTCCTTCACTGTCCTGTACACATGCACTATCTAAAGGAAGGCAATTTCTACATTCTTTGATCTGGTATTTTATCAGGGTCGTGGGTAATATTTTTCCTCTAATAATTTCATAAACATACAAACTTTGGGAAGAGGTTGTACAGTTTTGTGCATTTTGCAGCATTTTTGTTTGACAGGATGCACTCTAATGTCCTGATCCTGCCAAGACTTGCACATGTGCTTAACTTTATCAGCTTTAAATAGTTTCACTTGGGGTCACTGGGTCTACTTATGGTGTGTAAAGTGAAGAACATGCATAAAATTTTTGCAGAATCAAAGCCTAATGTATCATAGTGCTATTGTGTGTTTGCCCACTAGATGGAACCTTACTCTATAGTATCCTCTCCTCTTCAAGACCTGCCTGCTCCTCATCTGCATCATTCCCAACTTAGATGGCATCAAATAGTGCGCATTTTAACTAGAGTTCCCAGGCATCCGGTTTTCCACCGGAACGCCCGATCGAAAAGGGGCCCTGGTGGCTCCAGTCAGCACTGCTAACCAGGCTGCTAAAAGACTGGTCAGTGGGGCTAAAGGCAGGCTCCCAAGCGCCAGCACCGCAGTTCCCATTGGCCGGGAACCGAGGCCAATGGGAGCTGCGGGGGTGGTGTGCAGAGCCCCCTGGTCCCTCCACCTAGGAGCCGGATGTGCCGGTCGCTTCCGGGAGCTGCCTGAGGTAAGCACTGCCTGGCCGGAGCCCATACCCCAAACCCTCTGCCCTAGGTCGGAACCCTCTCTCACACCCAAAATCCATCCCAGAGCTTGCACCCCACATGCCCTCCAGTGCCCCAACCTTCTGCCCCAGCCCTGAGCCCCCTCCTGCCTCCAAACTCCCTCCCAGAACCCCCCCCCACACACATCCCAACTCCCTACCCCAGCCCTGAGCCCCCTCCAGAACCCCAAATCCCTCATCCCTAGCCCCACCCCAGAGACCACACCCCCAGCTGGACCCCACAGCCCATCCCC